CGGCCGCCCCTGGCCCGCGCTACTCCTCTAGAAATAAACCTTAAAATATGCGTTTGTATATAAATGTGTGTTTAATTGTGCATATACATGTTTATCGATTATACCTATATATATTTGTGGGGTTTGGGTTTTTTTTTGTTTTTTTTTTCTTTGCGTTTAAGTGCCTAATTTAGCTAGTGTTTTAGCTGCGCATGCATAACAGCAACAACAACAATAATAATAGGTTAGTTCTACTTATTTCTTCAATTTTTAAAAAGCAAAGGAAAACCCAAGCTAGGTAAAGGAGGTGGCTTGATGGTGATCCAGGAGTTTTTTTTTTTTTCCCTTTTTCTGGTGAAGGACGAGATGGGAGGAACGAGGTAAATTGTGGGGGGTGAGGGGCGATCCTAGCATTTTTGGTGCTGCGGATTTGCCCTTGTCCAAGGAAACCACTTCTCCCAAAGCGTGTGGTGATCCTCATGCTGCCCCGCTCCCCAGGATTGTGGGGAAGTGACCGTAGGACCATAGCACAAAACACCCATCCTGTGCAGTCACCTTTCCCCAAACTTCAGCGCTGCCTTTTTTTTTTTTTTCCTTTCATTTTTCTTTTTGTTTAGGTAGCCTTAGTCTCCCTGTTAAGGATGGGAGGATGGAGATCATTTCTTAGGAAAATATAATAACTCGTCGTACAACTTTTTGTTTCCCCCAGCTTTTAACAAGAATGTGTGTTGCACAGCAGGTTTGGGGATGTGAAGGCAATCTTTCAGTTTGGCTTTTTTTTTTTTTGACCTGAAATTAAAATAGGTCAATGATAAATGTTCTTAAGACTATAGCTGCTGCTTTCCTTTACTAGATTGGAGTTGTAGAAGACAGACACCCAGGAGGTTTTTGCCTTCCGCGATGGCTCAGTTTGGAGGACAGAAGAATCCCCCTTGGGCTACTCAGTTTACAGCCACTGCAGTGTCTCAACCAGGTCAGTTTACATTTAATTTGGTGCGTGAACCCTGACATCTAGTACATTTGTAGTGAAGAGCCGCTCCTTGCTAACTACTTTATTGATAAAGTCTGTTAAAATAGTACATGCTTGATGCTTCTAATGTGGCTAAAGTATTAAAGAAGACTAATTAACCTTAGGTCTATGTTTTTTTCTTGTAAGGGGTAATGAGTAAAATCAAAGCTGGCTTGTCTTTGAATCTCTCGAGCAGTAAAATTAAATTAATCATATCCAAAGTTCTGTAAATCAAATTACTTTTCCCCAGATTGCATTAATGTGGATGAAATAACAGTAGCACTAATAGTATATTACAGTTTTTTTTTAATGGGGTGCCTGTGTTTCATTCCCAGGGCAGCTTACATTGATGTTTACAAATACTTTGCTTTTATTAATATATTTGGCATATGTCACATAGTGGAGATGTCTTTGAGATTTGCTTGTTGGAGGGAGAAGTGTTTATGGTTTTGGTGACAAGTTAAAACTCAAAGTTCACTATGGTTAGGGTATTGCCTGCTGATGTCCGTGTGTTTTTGTCCTTAGGTTTTCATATGTAGCTGTGTTGAATCACAGACTTGTGCATTTGAAGGCTTAGCTGGTTGCATCTCGATGTATGATTCATGAGGATTCTTTTATGACAGAAAAGGTTTTAAGGCAGGAATATGAAGTTGATGCACAGTGAATATTGGTATTTTCATTTCCAGTGCTGAGTTGCCTCTTTCTCCTCTTGAATTCAAAGTATTTCAATTCAGTCTGATGCAAAAAGCCTTCAACAGGGCTTGAAGATTCAGGATGTCAAAATATGGGAATGGGCAGTAGTCCTGTTAGGCTATTTTTGCAGTTATCCTCTGTACCTTTCAGTAGATAATGAAACTGAATGTTGTGTCTCCTTTATGAATTTTACTTCCTGAAGCTTGGCAAAATTTGGGAATGCCTCCCAGTCCTTACGGGGAGTATGGAGGAGGAAATATTCTCCACAATAATATTTCTGCTAACTTGCTCTGTTTTTATTTAGGTGCCTTGCTCATTTTCCGTTTGGGTGTCCATCCAATCTTACTGCATATCCTTAAGGGTCTGGGTTCTCCCCTTTCTTACCAGTAGGTTTCATGGTGGTCAATCCCAGTGAGCCTCTTCCTGACATAGATAATCCGCATGTCTGATGCTACTCCCCTTTGGATAGAAATTGCTTAATAAGTTGAGTGGAAAAGACAGGAATTGTGAACATGGGAGAGAGAAACTTTGCCTTTGGCTCCAGTGCCTGAGTGACGGTGCCTGGGGGCAGTGAGGGGGCGCCGATGGGCGCGGGAGCTCTGAGCCCTGCGCTGGGGCGCGCTCAGGCCCGTGCACCCAAGGAGGTGCTGCAAGGCTGAGCTGAGCACCACGTCCTTGCTCCTCCATGGAGTAAAAGGTGTAGGAAAGTGGAGGGAGGAGCTGGCAGCCATCTTAGGCCTTGCTGAGCTAGGGCCAGAAGGGGGCTCTGCAGAAGAGGAAGCAGAGGTAGGTGGCTGGAAGCTCGCAGCTTCTTACCCTTTTCCAGCTTTCGGAGTTAGGCTGCTTTGCCTTCTTAAATGAAGTGCAAAATTTGATTGGGATAGGAGGAGCAGTCAGCATCGGTTGCTGTGAGAAGTTCCTCACCTGCTCAGAGAGGGCAGTATTTCCAGGGTTTTCCATCCATAGCACCTGATTAAAACCCTTGGGCCTTTAAAGACCGACATTTGTCTGCAGTTTTCCCTTCCTCCTGCAGTTGTCCCACCTTGCTTCATGTTCCTAGCTGCCCTCTTCAGTATCTTCTGCACAGTTTCTCTGCAAAGCCTCTAGATCCTTGCTTCCTTCCCTGAAGCCCCTTCCTGTGCTACTGCAGTCACTATTGTTCAATCCAGTTCCCAGGATTCGGCTGCCCAGCTCCTCTTTCAGCACCTGTTCATGTACTGTCACCTACTTTATTTATTTATTTATTTTTAATCAGCAGTGCAGATGGCTAGTGCATAGGACAGCAGGTGGTGGTTATTGTTTTAATACATAGTGTTTCTTGATCTTGTTGAGAGCTGAAGAGCAGCGTGTAGCACTGAGCACGTTTCTGCAGGAAGCTGTGAGCGCTGCCAGGGTACTCGCCTGCCCAGGAGCCTTGCTCAGGCACGCTGAATAGTACACACCGCTTCATCTGAAGGCAAGCCTGAGAACTTCTCCTGTAGACTGTGCTTTTAGTATTCATAAACCTGATTTAAAAAGCCTACATGCTTACCAAAGTTTGGCATATTTTCAGAGAACTGGTAAAAACATATATATATATTTATGTGTGCCAGCTGTCTTTATCCATGTATTGGGTTCTTTCTCCAAAGCATCAAATGTTTTTGCATGGGACAGAATAGCTCTCGTTTTTTTCATAACACAGGCAATGTGTTAGTTAATTTTTCCTATGGTCAAAAGTAAGGAACAGTTTTGTTCATCTTCACTGATGATGTTATAAACCAAATTTTATAACTGCGGAAAGATAATACCAGGAGTTCTTTACTTGCATATTGTCTTGGCAATCTCTGGTGGAAAAGTAACTGCTATTTAGGGCCCTATTACCTGTTAGTAAGGTATGACAGTGCTGTGTAGCTGTAGAGTGACATGGGTATAATGAAGGGTTCCTGGAATCTCTTTGGGATGGCTCACTATTTACTTGTGTGCCTCTGGTATTAGAAGGTAGGTAGGTAATTCCAGGTGTCAGCAGAGGTCTTTGTATGATGAGAGAGATTCCTACTTGCAACACAGTGAAATTTTCTTGTGTCTAGGGGTTTAATGCATTGTATGATTAAGAACAGAGTAAAATCCCTTCACACTAGTTAAGCATAGTTTAGGCAGAAATTAAATGATAACCTCCTGCCAAAAATAAAACCCTAGATAACGCAGGCTTTCTGTGTCAGTCTGTCTGCAGGCTTAGGATGATGAGTAGCTTCCTTGCACACACAAACACACACATCTCCCTGAAGGAAATTCCCCTTCTGTTCTCTCAGCTGTTGATTTCTGACACGTCTTTTGGTTTATATCTGTATGCCTAGTACAGACCGTCTTCAAGATTGTTGCATACTGAAACCTGTTTTCATAGAGCTTGAGTTTGAAACCTTTCCAAAGAAAAGACACGGTAAAGCCATAGATTTCTGTGGCTGTTTGGGCACTCAGATCTGAATCTTGCAACCACAAGGATATGGCAGCTGATGTGCAAATTGTTGGCTTGCTGTAAAGGGATGTCCTGTAATGAACACGCTAAGCCTGGTTCTATTGTGTGCCTGCTGGTGGAAGTTTTTGGGGAGAGGATTATATGGCATTTACAATGCATATGTGTTAGGCTTGAGGAAACTTGATTTTTAAGGCAATAGTATCTTCTAATGATGATCGTTGTCTAAAATTGGATTTGCAGGTCTGTGAGGGAGGGGAAAAAAAGCCCCAAACAACCACAAAAGACTCCAAACTCACAATTTGTCACAATTGTGAAAAATACCCACAGCCCTGTGTCGCACTCCTTTATTATAATCCTAACAAATCTGTATCATGTGCCATGAGGATAATATCTCCGTAGTTTGAAAATGGATCTCTGGAATTAAGCATCAAGGGAGTGATTAATACTGTCTTTTTCTGAATTTGTTATTGCCAGAGAAACTTTTTTTTTTTTTTTTACCCAAAATAAAGCAGCAGGCTGGGACTTGAATCTGTATGCAAGCCTTTCTTGACTTCAATTTATGCAGTGTTTGGTGCTAGTAGAAGTTGTTTGCTAGGTTTCATATGAAGCAAGGCATTTCTGGCACTGTACTTACTGGGTGATAATTGCAAATGCTAAGAAGCTTTTATTTGTCACTGCAGATGCTTGCTGGCAATAACCATTATATGGCAGTCAGATGTCAGTACCACCCTCGGTCAGTTCTGGCTATGTGGTTTTTATTTATTGTTATTAGCATAGCAAACAGGATTGTGTATCTTCATCAGAACCTGTGTGGTGGAGGTTGGCACCTAAATAAAAGATGGTCAGATTACACTCTTGAAACATTTGAGGGCAAATTACTAGAAAAGTTACTACAGATGCTGGTCTGTGGGGTATCTCAGCACTGTTCTGACTTTGGTCTTTGCTGCAAGTTGATCTGCAATGTTGCAGATAACATGGTACTTGATTAATACTGAAAGCTAATAAAAGCGACTGCAGTGGTGGCAAAATCTTAATTTAAATGGAAAAGATGGGATAAGGGTAGTAGTGTGGGTTGAGAATTGCATAAGAGATGCTTGTGGGCTCTGCTGGAAAGAAAATTGTCATAATGCCAGGTGTAAGTGAAGGCAGAGTGACTGAAGATCTGACGTTGAGACCAAGCATGTTAATATTCCTGTGAGCATCCTTCCTACAAAAAGTGAGTTGCTGCTGAAGCCAGCTTGATGACAGTGTTTCCATCTTCATCACAGCACAGTATCGGAATCAGAGGGGACTCAGTGGTGGCTAGGGTGATCAAACAGCCTCAAAGTGGGTAGCAGTAAGTGAATTTGTGTGCCTGCAGGAATTTCTCTTCAGCAGTGAGGAATAAGAGAAGAAAGATTAATGGACGTGTTATTGGCCTTGAGGGAGCTAGCTAAATAATGCAGCCAAGTAAAATGGAAGCTGTTCTAGGATGCAGCAGCAAAACTTTTTCATCAAAGAACTGCCTAAGGTGCCTTTATAAGATGTTGGTGATGTTCCAGATGAATGTAAATGGACAAAAGAGGAACTGATAGAGGAGGAGTAAGGAAGAGGAATGTAGAGCCTGTCATGGGAGAAAGAACTAGTTTCTTTGGCTTTTAAAGTTAAAGCTAGAACTTTACAGGGCAGAAAGATCCTATAATACTGGAAATGTGTTACTGTTATTGTAAAATGGAATGGTACTGATTTTATTATTAAAACAATATTATCTCCTAGAATACATATGTGACAGTGTGTGGAGCACAACTGCTAGAGCTGTAAAATCATAAGCAACCTGAAGGAATGAGATAAATGAGTCTCTGAGCCTCTCCTGTGAGGTACTAACTCTAACTGAATTCAGAGAATCTAGGCAGATACAATGCTTCAGCTTAAGTTTTGACATTGGGCTTGTCTACCTGAAGAGCTGGACTCGGGAGTGCACCATTTCATACTATTTCCAGTAGAGCAGCTGCTAGAAACGCCACCTGTTTGAAGTTATTCCAAGTGCTCATGTGTGTGCTCTCTTTTCAGCTGCTCTGGGCGTGCAGCAGCCATCGTTGCTTGGAGCCTCTCCAACCATCTACACGCAGCAGACGGCGCTGGCCGCAGCGGGCCTCACCACCCAGACACCAACCAACTACCAGCTGACCCAGACTGCTGCTTTGCAGCAACAAGCTGCAGCTGCAGCAGCTGCCTTACAGCAGGTACACTTGTCCCTAGGACCCCTGTCCAGGAAAAAAGCAAGGGGGGAATGCTACTATTGCAAGACAAACTTGATTAAAAACTGTAGTGCTTACTCTAGGTCTAGCGCTATTGATAGCAGTATTAATCTGTGAAAGTGGGAGGATGGCTGCTAGATCTTAGCTTAGCATTTCAGGAAAAAAAAATCTGACACCAAGGTGAATGCTTAAAGTTCTGAGTATCTCCAACCACAATGTGTAATCTTGATAGCATTTTACATAACTTCATACTGTGTCCACGCTACTTGTGTGTAAGGCTTAACAAAAATTGCCAAAGTAAAATTTTACATAGAAACAGTACACCAGAGGTCTAGTCTAAAGTATATTTGTTATAAGGATATTATTATATGTTGATAGCATTCATGTGTTTTGTAATGCAGTTGTTAAACATGACTAGTTTCTATCTAAACACACTTAGCAGATAACTTGTATTTGGCATTTTGGGGGTAATGCTACTTCCTGTTTATGAGATATTTTGCTTTTATCTGTTTCAGCAATATTCACAACCTCAACAGACTCTCTATAGTGTACAGCAACAGGTTTGTCTGATTCTTACTGTGTACATCACAAATAACTTAGAAGAATAATGTTGGTTGTGTGTCTTGTAGGATTTGTCTCCAAAATCAACTTTGCATGGGAAATTGTTAAAGAAACCAAGTAATTTTTTTTTATAGTGGAAGAACTTGAAGTTCACAAACATGGAGAGATGTATCCAGAATGGGAGCCTGCCCTACCTTCATGCAAAGAGGACACTAAAAATACACAATTCCATGTGTACAACATTTCTGCTAAACTTTGCTCTAAACAGGGCCGTGTATTTTAACTACTGGAAAGATACTATACAAAAAAAGTTCCCTTTTACATATCTTACGGTCATCCACGGTCAACCACCTTCAGCTGCCAAAATTATTTTTGATATAGGTATTACCTTTGAGTTACAAGAAACAGCATTTCTGCTTGCTGAATAAAGCTGAATCATGTGATCCTAAAGTTAATCACATAGGCACAATTTTATGGATTTGCAAACTGCTGAAATGACCAAACTGCAAAGAATTTACTATTAACTGACTCAGATTAAGCAAAAACTTGCTTGTAAAGAGGAAGTAAAATTGTACAATTTCCTTAAGCATATAAAATTAATTTATAACTTTTTATTTATTTTAAGTTGCAGCAACCTCAGCAGAGCATTTTAACCCAGGTTAGTTTGGTTTTATTGTTTGGTCTTCACCCCCAAACACGGATAATGCAGGAGTGCAAATTTTGTGACTTCCTAAATGGCTTAATCTGTAAAATGAGCTAATATCAACGGACATTATATTGGTACAGGTTTATTTTATCCAGATGTTAAAATATGCATTACCTTGGTCCTGATAACTGAGCAGCATACACTTTTCCTTAATCCTAAGGGGGAATAGGTGTTTCCATTACTTTTACGGGTTGAACTTCAAGTGTTTTGCAGTAAGTAACAAATTAGGAAAATCTTTTTCTCCTTTGAGAAGGAATTTAATTTTGTGTTAACATTATTGCATTATGTGTATATAGACATTTGAAAAGACTATTGCTGAGCTTGACGGGCATAAAACCTGCCACCATTTAGCACATTGTAAATTGCTCACGTTCTGTTTTCACTTAAACTTCAAAATGTGTTTTTAAAAAAGTATGAAGTAAAAATAGGTAGCTCAATTTTATTTTGTTGCTCTAAAACTTGTGTTCTACCTCCTTACTCTGCTTTTGCACATGAATTTTCAAGTTGTGAGAAGGATTCTTGTTAGTCCCAATCCCTTTGGTGACTTGCAACACAGTTGCTTTGTGAATGGAGAGTGATCTCTAAGCAGGTTTTCCTAGCAAGATGAGGAGCTTATCTCCTCTTCAAGCCTAGTGTATAGGAGCATGTGGACAATAATGCAGTCTTCTTTCTCTCTCTCTTTTTTTTTTCCTTTCTCTTCTCTAGGCAAAGTTTATAGTTTTAAAATGTGAATTTTAAAAAAAAAAGACAGTCCATTTCAAGTAGAAAAGAAAAACATCTTAAAATAGACTTCCATCTTCTGAAAATCTCCATTCAGAGTAGTTGCTTTAGGAAGGTTTTTAAACTGCTGTCTACATGAGCTAAGGCGCTGTTCCTTGCAGGTATGTCAGCAGCTTATGAGGTTTATGGAGTTTGTTTTATTTTGCTTCCTTGCAGCCAGCTGTTGCCCTGCCTACCAGTCTTAGCCTATCTACTCCTCAACCAGCAGCCCAGATAACTGTTTCTTATCCAGCACCCCGCTCAAGTCAGCAGCAAACCCAGCCACAAAAGCAGCGTGTCTTCACTGGGGTAGTTACTAAGCTCCATGATACATTTGGTTTTGTGGATGAAGATGTCTTTTTTCAGCTTAGGTAAGGTGTAACTACTTGCTTGCAGTATTATGAGATTCCAAATAAAAGAGTTTAGATTATTGCATTGGTAATGTCTGCAGTCATTTTGTTTTTTCTATGAATGCTGAAAGTCAGAAGATTGAATAAGCTGATAGATTCTAGATGTAAGTTTCTTGCATGAATTTTCTGCATGCATCGACTAAGCTAGGAGACTCTTGAGTGTACTAAGTTATTTATAATATAAAACAGAAGAATTTGTGATGCAGAAGTGCATATGATTCTCGGTGTGTGCAATACGTACAATTTGGGAACTTAAAATGTCGGACCAAAGACGGGAATTAAATTTCTGTGCATATTCCTGTCTGAAGCAGGTAGTGCGTTCACCGTATTTGAGAGTAGATGCTGTTACTGTAAGCTTTTTAAATGAACAACTTCTACTTCCCTCCAAATATACCTTTCAAATACAAAAGTTGCTTCCTCAGTCTTGCTCAGACTCTCAGCATACACTTTCTCCAATGTTTGCAGTGCCGTTAAAGGAAAGACCCCTCAGGTGGGCGACCGAGTCTTGGTAGAAGCTACCTACAATCCCAACATGCCGTTCAAATGGAATGCACAAAGGATCCAGACTCTTCCCAACCAGGTATAGACGGTGACCTGCTCTGACTTGTTGCGGTGCTTCCAGCGCAAGTTCTTCCACGGCTCATTTCTGCTCATTCCGTTAGAACCAGAGCCAAGCTCAGCCCCTGCTGAAGACGCCGCCGGCCGTTCTCCAGCCCATGGCGCAGCAGACGGCGTTCGGCGTCCAGGCGCAGCCGCAGCCACAGTCCCTGCTGCAGGCGCAGATATCGGCCGCTTCCATCACGCCCCTGCTCCAGACGCAGCCCCAGCCCTTGCTGCAGCAGCCGCAGCAGAAAGGTGCTCCTCCGCTTACGGGGTGTTGCTCTCCTTGTGCTTACTGGGGTCTTCTGCGTTGTTCAATATGATGAAGCTTTCCACAGTGCTATCCTTTAAATTGTCCTTTTGCTATACATATCTTTGCTTTAGTCAGCCACGTTGGCATTTAAGGGAATGAACACTGCTCAATATGACTAGTCAAAACTAAAGGTTGTTGTGGTGTCACTTGCACTTTCAGTGGCTGAAGAATAAGCAGTAGGATTGATAATAAAACCCACAGTACTACTTAACCCACAGTAAAACTAAGCAGCGAAATTCTTGAACTACCACCTAAGCACAATTGCCCTGGATAAGCTCTTACAGCAAAGAAATTATTTTTATCTGTTAGTAGGCTCAAAATTAAGTTTTAGATTTTCTTTAGCTCGACAAGTATATGGCATATCTGTCTTCAAATAATTTCATTTTCTGGGAGTTACATATTTATGGTTATACCTGCTTCTTATTTAGATTCTATTACTTCCATCCGAAGATACTTTATAAAAATTTCAATTCTAAAATAAATTGGAAAGCAGTTCAGTGAGAAAGAAGGTAGCACTCTGCTGAGGTTGGGTAGACTTACTTTACTTTTTAAGTTGTTTCACTGTTAGGCATCTTTCAAAACAACCGTAAAGTCAACGTTTTTGATGATACGGAGTAGACTGTTGTCCCCTGCTATGTATTCAGCTTGTGAATTTTTGTTTTCAGCTGGCTTGTTACAGCCACCCGTTCGTATAGTTTCACAGCCTCAACCAGCTCGAAGATTAGAACCGCCATCCAGATTCTCTGGGAGGAATGACAGAGGAGGAGACTCTATGCCAAATCGAAAAGATGACAGGAGGTACGTTCTTGATGTCAGATCTTTGTAGGTTGCTTTGGTTATTATTTCATCTTCTAAAAGAGCTGATCTTTTTGCTTCAGAGTTAGTTAATGACGCATGGTTTCACCAGCAGATATTGTTAAAGCATTCTTGTGTATCTGTAGTGAAAGCACTACATAATCAATTCCTGCTTTTATAAAAGGGACAGTATACTGAAACAAAAAATTCAGAATTTCTCATCTTCATATATGAAACATCTGTGACAGTTCTAGCTTTTATTGTGTTACAATGTTCTAGAAAGCTTTTTTGTTACCAGCATGTAAAATTATGTACATCTTGTATGAATTTTTAAGTCGTGAAAGAGAACGAGAGAGACGTAGGTCCCGGGAAAGATCACCCCAGAGAAAACGCTCCCGAGAGAGATCGCCCCGACGCGAGAGGGAGAGATCGCCTCGGAGACCACGGCGTGTTGTTCCGCGTTACACAGTTCAGTTTTCCAAGTTCTCCTTGGACTGGTATGTTTGCAGCACCAGATTTTTATTTAGAAGATCTCATTTTATTGGCAGGTACAGATTACCATGAGTTGTGTCAGTGTGTAGTGAGTGCTAGATAATGATCTGAACTTCAAAGAAAAATCAAATATGTAATGGCCGAGAGCCTTATAATAAACTTACTAGGCTCTTGTTTTCAAGGGCTTCTGTGCAATACCCTTATAATTCTATTTATTATTTTCCCTAATATGTAGACACCTTAATTAAAGTATGTTTACTAGTTAGTCCTTTTCAAGCATTAGTAATTATGCATGACTCAAAATGATCAAAAGTATCGAATATTGTAAGCTGCACGTGGCTGTTCACAGGTTCACATGTGGTTCCTGGTCTCAAGACTTTACAGTTCGAAATAGTGCTCCTCTAGGTTAGGTGTAACGTGGTTGTATTTCCAGTGAATGTTCTTCTTAACGTTGTGCTTTTTTGGTTTCTTTTTATTACTGTATCTTTCAAAAAATGCTGTTTATTCCAGCCGCAGCTGTGACATGATGGAGCTGAGGAGGCGTTACCAGAACCTGTATATCCCAAGTGATTTCTTCGATGCTCAGTTTACCTGGGTGGATGCTTTTCCTATGTCTAGACCGTTTCAGCTGGGAAACTACTGCAATTTCTACGTTATGCATAGAGAAGTAGATCCTATAGATAAAAACGCTGCTGTCCTTGATCCACCTGATGCTGACCATCTGTACAGTGCAAAGGTTTGTGCAGCCTCTTGTATTATGACTGTTCATTAGATTTTTTTTTTTTCTCCGTATAGGGCAAAAAGCAGGTTACCACTGAGCTGAAAATAGGCTACAACAACTGACTAATGAAAATAGGGTTTTAAACTTGTCAGCGAGTAGCTGGTGTATAGAATTTGAAAAACCATGACTGAAATGCAGTTTATTTTTCTGTTACTTCTTGTCTATGCTGGGGCTTCTTTTCCTTTCCCTGCACCATATTGTACTGATTTAATTGTAGGCAAGAGAGCCAGCTCCTGCAGGGTCTGAGTGCAGTCTTTGGGCCATATGTGCCCAACAGCTAACCTAGCTTCCCCTCCCTCTCTCCTTTCTAAGATGAGGCTGATGTGTGCTAGGCCATTTTTTTTTTAAGTGTGGTGAAATGGCAGAAGTCAGTGATTGAAAGCAGAAATGTACTGCGTGTGCTGCGTTATTCAGTGCATTCAGTGATAATATACTAAGTAGAATGGTAGTCCTGAAGCTGCTGAAGCTGCTCTTCAATACTTTCAGTCCACTGTATAATATAGCACACGTTGCATGGGTGAAGGATGGTGGAGGAGGGAAAGAGATCTTTCCGACGAGCCCTTCAGACCCGGCTCATACAGCTGTATGCTCAGGCTTTGCATTCGCTGAGTTTTGTGACCTTGAGGCTGAGTATAGGTCTGTGTGTAAGCGCGCACAAGTTTGTTCAGCGGTCGTAGTGGGAGGCCTTCATCAAACTGCTCTGACTTGCACAACAGGTGATGTTGATGGCTAGTCCTAGTATGGAGGATCTCTATCATAAGTCATGTGCTCTGGCTGAAGATCCCCAGGAACTTCGTGACGGATTTCAGCATCCTGCTAGACTTGTAAAGGTAAATATGTTTCAATGCCGGATACTCTTGGCCAAGAAGGTTAGTTACAGAGCTTTAAAATACCTTGATGAGAAAAGAGTTCATAGGCTAAATGACAGCTTCGTTTTTCCCTGAAGAGACCTAGTTTGTATGTCACGTCTCCTTTTTCGGCTTTATTAGAGCTTTATCGTCATTGCACTTGCTTTTACTGATTTCTCCAGCTTAGTCAAACCAGAGATATTTAATCTCTTATATATAATTAACTTTGTTAGTCTTTTTTAACAAGCATGTAGACTACAAGGGCTCAACTGTGAAGAGAATTCAAATGAAGCAGCAGTTAAGTAATAATCATGTGAAGTGGAATTTAGGCATTGTCATTAAAATGAAAAAAACTGTTTTAACTTCAAGTGTTACAGTGTTTCAAAGCAACGTGTATCTGTTGTTTTCTAATTAATCACCTTCAAAGCCAAGCTTCTGAATGTACAGATTCAATAATGCTTCTGTGGTTTTATCTTTTGTAGCTTTGCTTTATCACTCTTAAGCAGGAACGTCTATACGTGTGTCTACTAGAGTTAAAACACCATTTGAATTCCTGTTTGTTGATTATAAGCCTCTAGTTGCAAAGGAATAAGCCTATGCACATAAAGAAACCTGATGGAAAGTCATATAGAACAAGAATGAGTAATGATGTTTTAAACCTATTCCATTTCTGAAATAATCTGTGGAAAAAAAATAACTGAACTCTTTCTTGACTGACTTTCATTTTCAGATTTCAAAATAACATAACAGTTTACTGATGGATTTCAGTATTTGTGCTATGAAATATTTTTTAAGGTTTTGGGTAAGTGATGTTTTACCCCCTCGCAGGGGAACATTCAGAAGCTTCTTTCTGTCTAGTTTTTAGTGGGTATGAAAGGCAAAGATGAAGCTATGGCTATCGGAGGACACTGGTCCCCATCACTGGACGGACCTGATCCGGAAAAGGACCCTTCAGTGCTGATCAAGACGGCTATTCGTTGTTGCAAGGCTCTTACAGGGATTGACTTAAGCGTGTGCACACAATGGTAAGTACCGTGCCGCAAAACCCTATGCGCTCTAGAAATACTTGCCTATGATCCAAATTTAAGAAAGAAAAAGTGAAAACACCTTTTCTGTCAGCTGCTTGTGGTAGAGCAGGTAAACTACTCAAAAGGAGGTTATGATTTGTAATAAGCTCGATTGGTGCCAACTGTGCTGAATAATACATTAAGAACTAATTAAAAGTCTGGATTTTGACATGTTATTCTGTAATTTTTTCATGGATGTATGTTGAAAATATTTTTCGTTTTGTGCATAGCTGGAGAAGATCGTCAAGAGAACTTCATTTCATTGTTCTTTTGTTATAAATAATTAGCTGTTGGTTATAGCCATATTTTCTCTTGATGAGTTTATTTGTCCTGTGTCACACTTAGTGCAGTTCCACTACTATCAGAAAAGTCTACTCTGTGCTAAATTTGAAGTGCTCCAACTCTTTATTTGCGCATTAAATCTACTCGCACTACCTAGCAGTAGCATAAAAGAGCATAAAATTGGTGGATCTTTTAAAATTGCGATACATTGTACAAATGTGCCAAAAGAGAAAATACGGCTCCCATAATTTTTTTCTTTAGATAAACTTCAAGGTCTTGCAGCAAAGTTTCTTTACTTGATGTGCTACAAGTGATCTAGGCTCTTGAAAAATGTGTTGTAGAATTTTTTTTCCAACATGCTTCTTCCCTTGCAACAGGTACCGTTTTGCAGAGATTCGCTACCATCGCCCTGAGGAGACCCACAAGGGGCGTACAGTTCCAGCTCATGTGGAGACAGTGGTTTTATTTTTCCCGGATGTTTGGCATTGCCTTCCCACCCGCTCAGAGTGGGAAACCCTCTCCCGAGGATACAAGCAGCAGCTGGTCGAGAAGCTTCAGGGTGAACGCAAGGAGGCTGATGGAGAACAGGCACTGAACGCTAATCCCTTTTTCTATTTCTGCTTCTCACAGGCACAGGAACACAGGCACAAAATGCACACCACATACTACACAACATACATACATAGGAGGAACATAACTGGTAACAATGACTGGTAAACCAGCTTTCAGCAGTGTAGCGAATGCTGTTTTTTATTTTTATTTCAGCTAGTATACTAACTTAAAACGTGTTTGCTGATACCGCAAATGGAATTAAATTGTGCTTACGTGCGCAGAAAAAACTTTATCATAGAAGTAGTTGCTGGAATCTGGGACCAGTTGTTGAGCGAGATGCAGTTTATGAATAGCTGTCTATATAAACATTTTGCCATTTTCTAAAATTTCCAAATTCTCTCTTCTGGCCAGTTCTAATTGTGCTACTTGAAATTGGACAAACATTAGTCTGAAACATCTGAATTTCAGGCCATGTGGCTGATGAGCATCTTGGAATAAGGGAAGGTCTAACTGAACAAAGAGTCACTTTGGGGTTTTAAAATCTGGGGGCAGATCACGTGCTGCGTGGTTCACGGCGACCGGCAGTGTCGGTGTAACCCCGATTTTGGTCGTGGTGTTGCTTATCACCCTTTTGTGTTCCGCAGATCTGGCTTGTATTGGCTGAGTGGCACTGTGGCAATTTATAAAGTGGTAGAATGTATGTGTGAACGTGTCGAAATGAAAACTTTAGGAGAAGACTATCTGAAACAGTTGTGACCTTGCACAGATCAGCAACAGAATTTAAAAAGTAAATCTAAGACTTTCAGCCATTCTGAATAATAATTTTTTTTTAATTTTGTTTGTCAGGATGAAGAGGAAAAAGATGATGGGGAAGCTAAAGAGATCTCTACACCTACACACTGGTCTAAACTGGATCCGAAAACAATGAAGGTTGTGGGTGGTTGTTTTTGTTTATTTTTTATTATTATTTTTTTTCAACTGTGCATTTTCATTTGTAAGAAAAGACCCAAAATATTCTTGCATATCTCTTACCTGTGGAAAAACATTTAGCAGTGTTTTACCCCCCCTTGTTAATTTTAGATGCAATGTTGCAGTGTGGCTGCTGATTTAAATAGCCAAATAATACTAATGGAATCTCTTCTGATCTTTTGAACTGTGTACAACTTAAGCATATCATGTGTGATACAGCATTTTAAACTGGAAAATGAAAGTTCTGCAATAATCCGGCCTTGTCTACTTACATGCAAAAAGATGGGACCTAAAATTACTTTCATATTAGTTTAAAAATGCACTAATTATGCAAAACCTTGTGTCAGGAGACGTAACAAAAAAGCAGCACCAAATAATTTGCCTGCTCCTGTGAAAAGAGATTCCTTGAGGAGAACATGACTTTATATATAGTATGTATTATGTATCAGGAAAATAGGAAAATACTTTTTTATCAAAAGTGATCTAAAAGAGATGCATTTGACTTTCGGTGCTCTTAATTTTACTTCATCTTTTCTGCTGATCTCATGTTTTACAGTGTCACTGGTTGATACCACTTACAAAGCTTTTATTTATCAGGTAAATGACCTTCGCAAAGAATTAGAAAGTCGAACTCTTAGCTCTAAAGGACTGAAGTCTCAGTTGATAGCTCGACTGACAAAGCAGCTGAAAGTAGAGGAACAAAAAGAAGAGCAGAAGGAGCTAGAGAAGTCTGAGAAAGAAGAGGAGGAGGAGGAAGATAGGAAGTCTGAAGATGACAAAGAGGTTAGCTTTTGGACATATTTTCTGTAATTCTTACTATATACATAAAATTTTACAAATAAAAAAAGTAAGTATATAAATCTAAAAAGCACTAGTTTTGCTGATATTTTTGTAGTTCTTAGCTGACTAGCCTGGCAACTCTTTATGTAACCGGAGGTGCTGAATTGGAGTGAAATCTTCGCAAGTTTGAAGTTGTTTTTCTACCAGGAAAGTCAGCTGAAATGTGCAATTGTTAAAGCATGTCTTAACATTAGCAGTTAATGTCAGACCATAAACGTATCCTCCTCATAAAAAGAGCAAAACCCCCCAGCAAAACTGCACTTATTGCAAATAGGTGAGCGTGTTCTGCAAGATCTTAACCTATTAAACCTTTATGAAGATCAGCTGCCTAGTTGCATTAGCTCTCTGCAGCATATAAGCCATAGCGAATTATCATTTGCCAAGTGTGGTTTTGGGGCTGTTTTGTGTCTCTGTGAAAGACGATAGTGCCTCAGCCAACTCAACTCCTTTTTGTGGCCAGTTGTTTGCCTAGGCTTATCTTTATTATGAAACTTGAATTTTCACTTCTGGGAAACATTCTATGTGCTGGAAGGCATTTTGTTGTTGTCGTCTTTCCCCCCGCTTATGTTTTGCAGCTAGTTTTGGTACTCTTTAGGGTTTGTTGCTTTATTGTGAAGATAAATTATGTGCCATGAGGTTGAAGCCAACTGCCGAAAAGGGCCATGGATGTACAGACAAGTTGCTGTGTGTTCTACTTTTAAAACCTACCCTTTTCAGTTCTCCTACCTGCTAATCATAGTGACATAATTTGCGATCTAACATAATTTGCAATTGTATCTGCTTGCATAATGCTTTCTCTTGGTAAGAGAGCAGGTGCTTGCCATTTCTGTTAGCTGCTACTTTCTCCCACAGCTTCAATGTGCCACGCTGTGCAGTTTTATGCTTTACAGCCTTTTGATTTGCATCAGTTGCATCTATAAAGGTTGTGTTTCTCCTGACCAGGGGGAAAAAAAATGGGAGTAAACTTTCATCTGAATTCTTGAATATGCCGGGTTGATTTCTGTTTTTAACTTCCTCTTTTGAGGAAGAGGAAAGAAAGCGACAAGAAGAGCTGGAGCGCCAGCGGCGCGAGAGGCGATACATCTTGCCTGATGAGCCTGCAATCATCGTGCACCCCAACTGGGCAGCAAAGAGTGGGAAGTTTGACTGCAGCATTATGTCTCTTAGTGTTCTTCTGGACTACAGACTGGAGGATAACAAGGAGCATTCCTTCGAGGTAAATGAGCCATACTACTCCATTAAACAACTCTTTAGTGAGCTCTATATGGAGATGTTGCCTTGAGGAAGAAGATGATGCCTCGCAGTTGAATATAAGCGGCTCATAATTCGGCCCCCTTTGTTTCTTTTTGATTCAGTGTAGCAAGTGCTGTGTTCTTGAATTCTAAACGTAAGCAATACCATGGCAAAATAAAACTTAAAACTAAAGGTAAACCTAAACTAAAACTGTTTTTTGTGTGTGCAGTACACATTTAAAAAGAAAAAAAAAAAAGCCCTGTCTGTGATGGATAGCTTAGAAGAGCACTATGGAAGTGAGTTTGTCACTTATACAGTAAAATGGGAGCTAGTTTAGGTCTTAAACTGCAGTATAGGATTTTTTTTTTTTTAAGTTTGTTCAGGTATCTGTGTTCAAAACAAAACTTTATTTAGGATCAGAGTTTTTAACTGCTGTATGAAAACTTGGTAAGACAACAATTCGTAATTAAGTGCTTAAGTTCTTTGGGTTTTGTTTTTTATTTAACTTCATTCCTCCTTGTATGCAGGTTTCATTGTTTGCAGAACTGTTCAATGAAATGCTTCAGAGGGATTTTGGAGTGAGAATTTATAAAGCCCTGGTTTCCCTCCCAGAGAGGGAGGACAAAAAAGACAAAAAGGCCAAAAGAGACGAGAGAAAAGAAAAAAAGGAAGAAAAAGATGATGAAAATGAGGAACCAAAGCCCAAGAGGAGAAAGTCTGGTGATGACAAAGACAAAAAAGAAGATAGAGATGAGAAGAAGGTCTGTAGCTAGCTAACATAAACTAGTACATACTAAACTGATGCTGTCTTGTGTTTTTCTCTGTTACTTTCTAAAGCTCTTTTAGTCACCATGAGTCATATGAGTCATAATTTCTGACTCGTTAATCTATTTTAAAATATGCTTCTCATAATCATTAAAAACTTTACAGGTTTAGTTTATTTTGTAGTGTTTTAACGTACTGATATAAATATCACTGAAGATTTGTATATGCTTTTTTTTAATTTTTTGACTGAATGACCCACTCAGTCTGAGTGACTGTAGCGAGACAGCTTTCACTTATATTATTTCTTATTATTTCTGGCTTGATACATTCTTGTTTCAGAGGGAAGATAAAAGGAAAGATGATTCTAAAGATGAAGAGGAAACTGAAGATGATAATAATCAAGAAGAATATGATCCAATGGAGGCAGAAGATGCTGAAGATGAAGATGAAGGTATCTTTGAATTACGGATGTTATGGCTTTTGGATAAATTTTTTCATTGCCACTGAATTCAAAGTGGAGAACGCACTAGAACTAAAAATCTAAAACTGCATTATTAGACTACTAATCTTATTAAAGTAATTCTGACCAGATCTGCTTGAGATTTCTTAAGACATAATTGCCTTTTATGCTAGGCATTGTATAGTTTATGTAACCTGTAGCTGTGGTTTGCAAAGTAAGGCATGTGTATAGAAGTGGTTTTATTTTTTTCAGAAGGCAGACCACTCGCAACTCCCATTGAAGTCAGTAGGAGATGTGAGTATTCAGCACCTCTGAAAAACCAAGCCACTTTGAAGTGCCTAACTTTCTGTTTCTTAGGTTTAAGATGTCGCCCTGGTTTTATTAGGTCAGAATGCAGAGTGTGGGGATCTTAAATGATACTGTGAGCAGCTGATTTGTGTTTGGGTGGAGCCCTGTTCACCCAAAAAATGGGGAAAGGGGCCAGGGAACTTTCCTCTCTCCAGAGAGCAGCAGTTGCCCTTTTTCCCTGCTCAGAAATGCAGGAAGGAATAAGATATGTTGTGGGCTTTTTAGTTTGTATTTTAGGGGTTTCCTTCCTTACGTCATTGGTTCAGTTTTTGCTGGAGAGGTGGTTTTGAACTACATAAATGTTGCAGTCGCAGCGTTTTTAGCCAGTGTTTTTGATAGTGCTTTCAGCAGAGCGCTCCACCAGCCTCAAAGGCTTGATGTTCTCTTTCCAAGCATCTCTTCTTTGATTGTTATCTCGCCCCTATGCAAGTTCTCGGGGCTGTTTTCTCCTGTACAAGTGCTGCTGCCTTCCCGTAATCTGTCCTTGTGCCGTTTTCAGTCTGAGTTGGTGAGAACACATCCAGCAGGCCATGGAGGTACATGAAAAAGCTTGTGGTTCTCAGAAAACGTGTTGGCAAAAGGCAAAATTAGACAAATATTGGTATAGAACTTTTTCAAAGTTTTCCCACCGAGAAAGGTGAGCAGTTTCTTAAAGCTTGATTTGGCACGTGAGTCTCCAAGCAAAGACACAGACAAGGCACAGAACTGCATGGCATAATCCATCCCTGCAGTTGTCAGATTCCTCTTTCTCTTTAATTTTAGATGAAGTTTTACTGTGTAGTCCGCTTGCAAACATATGCGCGCGCACACAAACACACCCACTTTGGTCCTTCACATCTAACCAGTGCTGTAATGAGAAACTTGGAAAATCTTGAAGGTTAAAAGCAAATACACCAGTAATGAAAAAATCACGCAGACATGAATATAAATACATGTTTTTAATTATGTGCTTGATGTAGTTTTTATGATATAAAATACTTGACAATAAAGAGTAGTGATTCTGCCAACATAAATGATCATTGCTGAATGCAGACTCATTAGGGAGAATTGGGATGATTTTCTGCACCACTTAGAGGTGGTGGTGTTGGCACAACTTATTTTAGCCTCATTAGTATTTATTCTTTTGTGGCATGGGTGTGAAAATTTAAGGATTTTAGAGGGTTAAATTAAATCTCTTAAATTTGAGAAAGACAGGAGAAATAAAAGTATGAGACCAACCTAAAATGTCATTTGGTTTCCTTCTGTTTAGGAAAATATAATATTTCCAGGTGTTTGGGGGTTTTTAATGAATGCATGTCCTTTTGTGATGGTAACTGTAGGATCATTTTCTGTGGATATGTTTAATTTTCTGTTTTATAGACCGAGATGAAGAGGAAATGAACAAACGGGAAGACCGAAGAGAGGGAAATAAGCATTGCAAAGAGAGGTCATCTAAAGATAAAGTAATTACCACATTTTTTAACAATATGTATTTAAAAAAAAAAGGCAATTTTAATACCTGGAATAATTACATAACATTTCTACGTGTCCCTGCAGGAAAATGCATGTATCATTATGCAGCACTTAAGCATCTCCCTGTAGGAAAATAGATGCTTTTTCTGTCATGCTGAGGCTAGTAGCTTGCATTCACATTCAGACTAGGAAAGAACATAGATTACATGGTTTATGTGTGAACTTCCTGCATAGATACAAAATTAAAACAAGTGTCTGACTGTTTCTGCCTCAAAAGTTAGGAAATGTAGGAATAATGACAATGCACAGTGCAGAACAGTTGTAGTTGTTAGAGCTGAATGATTATTAATTCATTGCACAATGAGATTTGGGTTTCGAAGCAACTGATGAATAGCATATATTAATTGGGGGGTGGCTGAGGAAGGATTGAAAGGAAAGGTTTATTTAGGTTAATATTTTGAGCTTTTTGGCATGTTAGCTTGAACAAAAGGAACTAGTGTCTGTCGGACACTATTGTTCCTCTTGCTGTAATCCTAGTAGATGTTTGAAAGTTTTTGTCATAAGTTTTGTCATAAGTTGTTTTTATTAATTAGGAGATAAATAACTAGCTATATTAATTACCTGTCAGAAAGAAATGATAAAATGGAACTGAGGAAAATTTTGTTAACTTAAATGTTTGTTTACTTTTAGTAGCTGATGGGAAAATGATAATTGTAACTTGCACACAACACATCTTTTGTAGGAGAAAGACAAGACACAGATGGTGACTGTTAACAGAGATCTCCTGATGGCTTTTGTTTATTTTGATCAAAGCCACTGTGGATATCTTCTGGAAAAGGACATGGAGGAGATACTCTACACCCTTGGGCTGCACCTGTCACGTGCTCAGGTTTTGTATAGCTGTAAAAAAGCCTTTGAAAATACTACAGAAGTGCTACAAGGGGGTGGGTGGAAAGCAGCTCTGAAGCCCATTGCTTATGTATTTTATTCCTAATTTCTAGGCATTCTACTTTCTAGTTTAAAAGGTACTCTAATGTGAATTGTTTTAAGTTGAAAAGATGCAGTTTGCAGCTCCTAATATGCCTGTGTTGAATATGTTGCTTTTAAATGTGTCTGAGAAAAGTCTCTCTCTCTCCTAGCTAGTTCACATTTATAAGCTCAATATGTTAAAAAGCTTTGCAATTTCTTGATGTAGGGTTTTCAAGTAGAACATACTTATTTAGGCAGTATGCTGACTCTTGTCCACTAGCACCCATTACACTGCATGAATAACTCAGTATTGCTTTCCATGGCTCCATTTTAGGTGAAAAAGCTACTTAATAAAGTAGTACTTAGAGAATCCTGCTTTTACAGAAGACTAACAGATACTTCTAAAGATGAAGAAAATCAGGAGGAGTCTGAAGAGCTGCAGGACGATATGTTAGGTAAGATAGAGTTCTGAGATGTCTGCAGAGAACCTGCTCTTTTAGAAAAGTAAACTTTGAGCACTTAAACTGTGGTAATTCTGACCTCCAAGAGGTTCTGGGTTACTTTCATAGCATGGTTTCTTAGAATATTTGTTTGGACCAGGAAGGAGGACAGAGGTTAATGCTGAATGTTCATTGACAACATTGCATGTTCTCACAGTACCTTTGCAGTCATGCAGATCACAGCACGTCCTACGGGCCATAGAGAGGAGCTTGATTCTTGGGAGGCAATTGCTGCAAAAAAGAAGAATAGAAAAATACAATGGAGGAGTATTGGGAAGGCAGGGAGAAGGAAGGAGGAAATGAGGGATACATCAGACATGTTCTATTTCTTTCATGCATATGTAGATATATGTATGTTATGATCTTAATTCTGTATTGTTAGAGGTGTGACTCTTGAATTAGTATGGGTATTGTTTTAAACTAGTGCAGGATGTTCTTTTAAGGCTGGTCATTAGAAACGCAGGCAACTGAAAAATGGCTTAATGATTATTTCTTAATACTCCTTACTCAATTGTAGGAAACAGATTACTGTTACCATCGCCTACAATAAAGCAGGAAGCAAAAGCTGTGGAGGAAAACGCTGGCCTCATCGTGTACAATGGAGCCATGGTGGATGTTGGGAGCCTTTTGCAGAAGCTGGAGAAAAGTGAACGAGTGCGGGCAGAGATAGAACAAAAGCTGCAGTTGCTAGAAGAAAAAACAGGTGGGACACTGCTTTGAAGGCAGTGCTAGTATGGATGCAACATCCTAGGACTTTCGGGGCAGATAAACCCATCTGAGAAATACTTGTGACCCAGTGTTCTTAGATATTTGCACGCACTGTCATGTGCCCTTGGAACTTGCATACCAGCAACAGTTGGAGTACTGTTGTTGCATACAATTAAACCATTTTTCTTTTTCAAAATAGCACGTTACCAGATAGTAACACAATGTAGTCTTTCAGTGTTCATTTAATTTTTTGGTGTGGTGAAAGTGGAATGTTAAGATACAAAGTATGTAGCCTTGGAAGTGACTCTGACTCTCATTTTAGATGAGGATGAAAAGACCATACTGCAGCTGGAGAATTCTAACAAAAGTCTATCTACGGAACTCAAAGATGTCAAAAAGGATCTTGGCCAACTACAGGAAAACTTGAAAACCTCGGATGATAAAAATCTGCAGTTTGAGAGTCAGCTGAACAAGACAATCAAAAATTTAGCCACTGTTATGGATGAAATACACAGTGTTCTCAGACAGGTTAGATTTTTTTTTAATTCCATTGTTGCTTATTGCATATAAGCATTTTGTAAACTAAATCTGAAAAAAACATTTACAAATGAAAAAAAAATCTACATGAATTCATGACAATAATATCTTATATTGTATGAGATGCTAAATGAGAAGTTGATTAAAAATAACATATGCAAAACACATTTTCCTAAGCTTTAAACAGAAGAAAAGTTCTGGACTTGTATTAGTTGTTACGTAGTTTTTGAATATAAATCCCAAGCTATTGTAATAATTTAGTGGACCTTCTCCATCCCTTGTGGTGTAAGTTTTCTATATCTCCTCTCTTCAGTTAGGAGTATGATGTCTGTCTTCTAGGCAAAACGCAGGTATTTAAGTTTATCAGGGTATTCCAGTAAAACAAGCATGGGCAAATTACTTCATCATCTCTCTTGCTGTGTGGAAACCAACTTGCATATTCCCAAGGAACGTTGAGAGGTCCCATTAAATAAGACTTGAATGGAAGTAGGTGTTGGAGTCATCGGTGTCTTTATGCGGCCCTGTTTTTGCAGAAAGTTTTTTTTTTTTTTCCTTTTTTTTTCTTTCCTCTATGTCTGTAAAGGAATACAAAGTAAAACTCCTGTGGTCCTTTTTTACAAGGTCACAAGTTGCCTTTCATTTTATACCCTCTTAGTTTTTTAGGGATACACTGCAAATATGAATAACTGTATGACTTTTCACTTAGTATTAAAAATAAATGCAGTTTCTTGGTCTTGTACTGCCGTGCACTTCAGGAATCTCACTTTTGGAACTTGATCTTTTTTGTTTTGTCTTAAAGGATGTTGTGAAGAGCGAAGATAAAGATCAGAAATCCAAAGAAAATGGAGCAAGTGTATGATGAAACTGCTGCTGTTTAGAAGAAAGGTGTTACATAATGTAATATAAATCATGATACCAGAATGTATGGAAAGTGATGCATGTTTGATTTTAGTAGTATAAATATCTTAGTTCCAAAAGATGTATAAAGTTTTACGAATGTGAGTGTCTGCTTCTGAAGATTGCTTGTAATTCTTAGCATTCAATTTGAGACACTCCTTGAGTGAAAATAATTTTGCATTGCAAAATGTTTTAGGATGAACTTTGTTATAGTTTTAACCCTAATAAAGTTCATCAACGTAACAAACAGTAGCAAGTATTTAATTACCAAATGTTTTTTTGTTAAAGTCTAGTGAAATCAATTTTTTCATTATTTATAGAATTGCCATTTTTAGGTTTTATTTTCAGTCTAATTAGTCTTTTAAATTCAAATATAAATCATAAAATAGCATGCTGCTTAATTTTGCAAGTAAAGATTTTTTTTTTAAAAATACTTCTTGGATTTTTTTTACTTGTCACAATTTTCTTTTCTCTAATGTACCTTTTCTTTTCTTTCTTTCCCCGAAGCTGCTTGTATTAAAGCCTCATGATATACAATAGTTCAGATGAGTTAAGAAAGCAATAGAAACCTACCAAAATACTGGCAGGGCTGTGAGATTTATATGAAGATATATGGGCCTGTTTTAAATGTATGTCATTTGTGTTCCTTTAATTGTTCTTATCTTTGGATTAATATATATGCTCCTTTTTAATAACAAATGCTGTGTATTAAAATGTATGGTTGGGTACCAGGCCAGTAGATGTCAGAACATTGCCTTATGTGGGGAAAATGCTACCATTGTAAGCCTCCTTTAATTAAATTTGACTTCTTTCCTAGCTAGCATGTGTAATTACTTCCAAGACTTTAGTCCAAGCAAAGAACGGCTACACAAGTGTTAATCTTCTATATCCTAACTGCTAAGGAGCAGGACACGATTTGTTTTGTTGCAAGTGGGTGAAATGCTGCTGCCTGCTGTTGTGCTCACCAGTCACTAGCGTTCTGGACTCAAGTTAACGTGGCATCCTTGTCAAAGGTGACTTCTGAAATAATGTCAAGTGTGAATAATTGTGTTTTGGTGCAAACTTTGAGGAAAATGATGGGGTTTTGAAGGTTGGGGCAGAAGTGTTTTCTTAGAGAAATAGTTTTAGTAAACTTCTTTTAAAGCTAGATACCCTAGGTAACTAAATACCTGTTAGGAGAGTCTGAGTGCCATAATATGTATGAATAACCTACATGGAAACTCATGTAGCTTTACTAAGAAATACATTAAAATGCCTGAATTTATGTTCAAAAAAAGTCTTAAGCTGGTGCTTTTATCACTTACCTTTCTTGGCTCTTTTGGAGCCAGACAACTGAAATATTTTTTCTTTGAAATTACACGCATAAACTTCCCCTTCATCGTACAGGAGTCGCTATCTAATACTTGAACTGTTCCCATCAGACTAGGAATTAGCTATAAAAGCACTAACTACTGCATCTGAGTACACAGCAAATGCATGCTTGATGAACTGGGATGTCTCAGAAAACAAAAATGACTGTAGGAGCATGGTAATGGTGTTATGATCACGGTGCACTCATGATGTTAATTGGCAATGAAATTGTATTTCTTTTCACTTTTACATTTGTATGAGTTGTGTACCAATACAGCGTGTCTCATTACCAACCCTGAGCACCCTTGACTTAAGGGATTGAGACTGTAGAAAAAGCTTTGAGGAGTTTTCAGCAGTGCATGTGAATGCATGCAAAAAAAAAAAAAAATCCTTTTAGAATTTTAGGCAAATTTAAGGATGCAAAATGACTTTGTAGGCACCCTGAAACAGCTGTTGGGACATTTTCCAAGGGGTTTTTCCATGTCCTTATCTAAAAGCAGTTATCCAAGATAAGCCATTGCTGCTTTTATGCATACATGTTGTTACTGCTGGTCATCAGCTAAAGCTTCTTAGCACTGTTCCCAAGTCCAAGTAGTTTGTAGCAACATCTTACAGAGTGCCCCTAATGGAGGCCCGGAGAAGCCAACTGCTGCCAGCTTCAGCTTCCATTTGAGCAGTGGTTTTTTCCTGTTTCATGCATCTTTCATGTCTCCTCTGCCCACCTCTTGGGCTCTCCATTTCCAAGTCTGCCATTAGGTATTGGTGCTTGCTCTTGAGCCTCAGTCAGCTCTTACTCTGGAGTATCAACAATGAAGGTCCAATTAACCTGTAGTTCGCAATTGAGTCTGTCTTATGGCATGTGCTGCGTTAGGAAGTGTTTGAGTAGGGCAGTCAACATGTTGATGTTAATATGCCCTAGGAAGGGTACAAATAGAAACTGCCCTGGGACTTGTCCATACCCGTGCAGTGCACTGATAAAAGTGAAATAAATAATCAATACCTCTGCTCAGCTATCCGAACTCCCAGGGTCTCCCCAGCAAGCCTGTTGATTTTCCTGTGTACTGTGCTTCAGTAGAGGAGTTACACTGGAAAGTAGTAAGAGCAGAGAGAAAAAACATCAAAAACACCATTTTTAAGCAAAAACTTTCTTTTTTCTACTTATCCACTATATACTGGAGGACATGATACAGGAACATAAGTGTTTAGCTTTTTTGAATGTATTCCTGCGTTTTAACTGTTTTTGCCTTTTTGGACATTGATAATGGGTTTGTATTCGAACTTAGGATACTCTACCGTCTCTGATATCTTGTAGCCCACTGTTTTTTTGTTTAAATTGTTACTCTCTTCACCAGAGGAATTATAATCAGTATGAGGATACCGGCAGAGTGTCCAGTGTTGCATGCAGAGCTGGCGTATTTACAGGTGCAGGTCAGAATTCCTGCTAACTGATCTGTTTAGCATAGTGGGTCTCATTCCCAGGAGAACTCCCAGTTCTCTTTGTTCCTCCTAAAATTACGGAGAAAAACAGTGGTGATGAGCAGATCTTTGTTGCATGCTGCCACTTTTTTTAAAAATGTTGGGTTATGATGTTAAACTGAGTCTTTTTTTTTCTTTTTTTCACCCGACCTCTAGATGTTCATGTAGTACCTCGCTGTTACACTAAGATCACTTACAGAGCACTTAGAGCTGCAGGTTTTGTGTATGTTCCTGAGAGTTGTATTCTAGGGCTTATTTTGTCCTTCCATTTAGAAATACTGTCATTAGAAATGACCGCTGGTGCGGTGAGGATCTCTGCTGATACTATGATCTGTGTAGCTCCTTGCAAAGTCCCTTATCTCGGGGTTCTTCCATCCTAGCAGATCCTGGAGAGTTGTTGTGGTCTTTTGGAACGAATAGCCATGAAAAATCTTCTGAGGGGCTCTGAACGCACACTGCTCAAGAGGTTTTGATGGGAGAATCATTGCTGGGTTGTTTCCTTCTGTCTAGTGTGGGGACATGTGTGAAGCATCCCACAGATCTGGTATTTGTTAGTTGGTTTTTAGAGCCTGGATAGCTCGGTAGAGCTTCAGGATTTTAATCTGAGGGTCCAGGGTTCAAGTCCCTGTTCGGGTGCGTAGTTTTTGGGGGTGGTCTTGGCTGCAGTGACCAGAAGATGTTGTTGGAATTCACGATCCTGCAAGGAGGAAACTGGACAACCCTGGATTTCATGAGAGCTAACTTTGACCTCTTCAGGGTGCTCCTGGGAGGAATCCCCTGGGCAAGGGCCCTAAAGGAAAGGGGCTCCAGGAGCCTTGGCTAATATTCAAACACCACTTTCTCCAACCTCAGGATCCGTGCATTCCTATAAGAAAGACGTTGAGCAAGGAGGGCAGGAGACCTGTGTGGGTGGGCAGGGAGCTATTGGATAAACTTAAGGAGAAAAAGAGCATGTACCTAATCTGGAAGAAGGGCCAGGCCACATGGGAAGAATATAGGAACATTACCAGAGAATGCAGGGATGTGGTGAGGAAGGCCAAGGCCTGTTTGGAATCAGAGTTAGTGACAGATGTCAGAGGCAACAGGAAGGGATTCTACAACTACATCAGCAGCAAGAGGAAGACTAGGGAAAATGTTAGTCCACTGCTGAATGGGGAGGGCACCTTGGTGGCGGAGGATGCAGAGAAGGCAGAGTTACTAAATGCCACCTTTGCTCGTGTCTTTACTGCTAAGGTTGGTCCCCATGAAACTACAGAGCCCGGAGACAAGAGACATAACCAGGAGAGAGGAGGACTTCCTGCTGGTCAAGGAGGATTGGGTTAGGGACTATATAGGCAAAGTGGACACCCATAAATCTATGGGCCTGGATGGGATGCACCCAAGAGTGCTGAGGGAACTGGCAGGAGTCATTGCTAAGCTGCTCTCCATCCTCCTCAAGAGGTCATGGAGGGCAGGGGAGGTGCCGGAGGACTGGAAGAAACCAACATCACTCCAGCCTTCAAAAACGGTAAGAGGGAGGAGCCGGGAAACTACAGGCTGGTCAGCCTTGCCTCCATCTCTGGAAAGGTGATGGAGCAGGTCATCCTAGAGACCATCTCCAGGTATGTCAAAGAAAAAAAAAGTGATCAGGAGTAGTCAGCGTGGATTCACCAAGGGGGAGTCGTGTCTGACGAACCTCATAGCCTTCCACCATAGGGTGACCGGCTGGATGGACGATGGGAGAACCATGGATGTTGTCTACCTTGACTTCAGCAAGGCTTTCGACACTGTCTCCCATAACATCCTCATAGGGAAGCTCCGGAATGGAGCTCTGGAGCTGGATGAGGGGACAGTAAAGTGGATTGAGGACTGGCTGGATGGCAGAGCCCAGAGGCTGGTGATAAATGGGGTTGAGTCTAGTTGGAGGCCTGTGGCCAGTGGTGTGGCACCAAACTGGGTGGAGTGGCCAACAACCCCGAGGGCTGCGCTGCCCTTCAGAGGGACCTGGACAGGACCGAGAGTTGGGTAGAGAGAAACCTCATGCAGGGTTCCGCACATGGGGAGGAATAACCCTAGGGACCATTGGCCTTCTTGGCCACGAGGGCACATGAGACAGCAACGTGCCCTCGTGGCCAAGAAGGCTAATGGGATCCTGGCTGCATCAGGAGGACCATTGCCAGCAGGGCAAGGGAGGGGATCCTGCCCCTCTGCCCAATACTGGAGTATTGGGGGCAGCTCTGGGCTCCCCAGGACAAGAGGGACGTGGAGCTTCTGGAGAGGGCCCAGCGTAGGACCACGAAGATGATGAAGGGACTGAAACATAGGAAGTTCCATCTCCATATGAGGAAGAACTTCTTCCCTGTGAGGGTGCCAGAGCCCTGGAACAGGCTGCCCAAAGCCCGCGCCGCGGGCTGGGCCCGGCCTACCCGGAGGGGGCC